GCACCGCAGTCACAGTTGTGCTCCAACACGATCTTTTACCTCAATCATCTGCTTGTGGCTCCCCTTTTCAGAACTGTAACTGGTCTGAGAAAAGTGAAAATCAAAATTGAGACCAGGTGGAGCATCCACTGTGGGCCCAGCGCTGCCTGATATGATGTAAAGGCGGGGCCCGCCTTCAAGGACATGGGCTAAATTTAGGATCCGAGCTTAAAAGGGCAATTTATTGGGAGGATACAGCACTTCTTGTGGAACCCAGGGGCAGAAGTACAGCTGGGCTTTCCAAGGGATCGGGAGCAAAGAGCAGAAAGTCATCAGGAGACAGCTATGTCTGAGGTCTCATCTTCATGTCTGCCTCTTTCAGCAGTCAGCTTCTCTCTGTGCTGAGGTACGTCCCCTGCTTCACTCACCTGTGGCCCCCTAATCCCTGATACCACATTGCCCAACCCAGGACCTGGGAGAGATGAGCCTAGCCCAGCCCAGCTTCTGACTGGTTCTCCTGGGTCAGGTGAACACATACCTATCAGCTGTGACTTGAGAGGGCGGAGGTCACATGGCACCAACATGGCTGCTGACATTCCTCTTTTTGGGTGGGGTGGGAGTGCTAGGCGGGAATTTTCTTTGCTCTTTCATAGCCCTGGGGCCAGTTAGGGCCCAAGAACAGGTGGGTGGCTTTTGATTTTTCTCCCCTGTCTCTGCCTTTCTTATATTTACCCTAAGAACAAAAACATGGTGGAGAGGAAAGGAAGGGTCAGGGTCTTTCTTCTGGTTTTTATCTTTTTAGCTTTTTTTGTAGTCAAAAGACAGAGAGCTCTGATAAGTCTGAACCAGTGAGCAAGCAGGACAAGCGTGCCTTCGGGAATTTTTTTTTTTTTTTTTTTTTTTTTGTACGCAGGCCTCTCACTGTTGTGGCCTCTCCCGTTGTGGAGCACAGGCTCCAGACGCTCAGTAGTTTAATTACTTTGTTGTCAGAGAATACAATCTGTAGGATTTTAATCTTTTAAACTTACTGAGACTTATTTTAAGGTCCATCATGTGGTCGATTTGGGGAAATATGCTATGTGCTCTTTAAAAGAATGTGTGTCCTCTAATTGTTGGATGGAGTTCTATAAATGTCATTTAGAGCTAGGAGGTTGTTAATGTTCAGAACTTCTTTATCTTTACTAATTTTTCTTTTTTCGGTACGTGGGCCTCTCACTGTTGTGGCCTCTCCCATTGCGGAGCACAGGCTCCGGACGCGCGGCCTCAGCGGCCATGGCTCACGGGCCCAGCCGCTCCACGGCATGTGGGATCTTCCCGAAACGGGGCACGAACCCGCGTCTCCTGCATCGGCAGGCGGACTCTCAAGCACTGCGCCACCAGGGAAGCCCTGCCTTCGGGAATTTTGAGGTGAAAGTGACCTCCTGCTTTGGTTTTAATTTACTCTTGCAGATAACTTCCTTGTTTTCCTAGGCACTATTCAGGGCTCCAGCCTATTGCTACCATTCCCAGCTAACATTCTCCCTGCCTTCCTTTTAGACGGAGGTGAATCCATGCTCCACATTTTACATACTAAACATCCATGAGCTATTCTCTGAACACCGTGAATAATTTTCTACTTGATTGTTTCCACACGTACAAAACAACTAAGGTCCTTCATGCAATTTCCACAGCACTCCTGCCTTACAGGAAGAGTCCAGAAGTGTTCAGATCAAAGCGGGGGCTGGTCTCTAATGAATTGAAGATTGAGCCCCGTGTTGGTTTGCTAAACATAGTAATGAATTCCCACAAGCTTAGTGGCCTAAAACAACAAACGTATTCTCTCATGGGTCTGGGGGCCGGGAGCCCCAAATCAGCATCAGCTAAGCTGCAATCAAGGTTTTTCAGAAGGACCAAACTGCCTTGGATGATCTAGGGAGGAATCCATCCCTTGCCTCTTCCAGCTCTGGTGGCTGCTGGCATCCCTTTTTTTTTTTTTTTTTTTTTTTGCATGTGGATATCTAGTTGTAGGGAAATACAGTAATTTATATGTGCATTTTCCCGTTGATGGACATTTAAATCGTTTGCAATTTTCAATATGATTTCTTTTAAAAAATTTTTTTATATACTTTTTAAAGGTTACTTTACATTTACAGTTATTACAAAATATTGGCTATATTCCCTGTGTTGTACAATACAACCTTGAGCCTATCGTATACCCAGTAGTTTACATCTCTCACTTCCCCACCCCTGTACTGCCCCCTCCTGCCCCTCCGCGCTGGGAACCATTAGTTTGTTCTCTGTATCTGTGACTCTCCTTTTTTGTTATATTCGGTAGTTTGTTGTATTTTTTAGATTCCATATATAGGTGATATCCTACAGTATTTGTTTTTGTTTGACTTATTTCACTTACCACAATGCCCTCCAAGTCCATCCATGTTGCTGCAAATGGCAAAATTTCGTTCTTTTTTAAGGCTGAGTAGTATGCCATTGGTTATATGTACCACATCTTCTTTATCCATTCATCTCTTGATGACACTTAGGTTGCTTCCATATCTTGGTAATTGTAAATAATGATGCTCCGAACATTGGGGTGCATGTATCTTTTCAAATACATGTTTTTGAAAACACGTGGTTTTTTTTTTTTTCGGATTTATACCCAGGAGTGGAGTTGCGAGGTCATGTGGTAGTTCTATTTTTAGTGTTTTGAGAACCCTCCATACTGTTTTCCACAGTGGCTGCGCCAGTTTACATTCCTACCAACAGTGTACCAGGGTACCCTTTTCTCTAAAAATTGTAAATTTTCTTCCTAGGGGTAATTGAGATGATAGTTCAATAATAACATAAGATCAGGTGAAGTCTAAATAAATTTTAGAAAACCTGGATAAAGTAAGAAAACATCTGTTCGCTGGTATCTGAATGTTAGAGAGACACCAAGACATGTGAGCCAAGTTCTGGAGAGAAGGGAAACACAGACACAAGCTTGACATTTGGTGCAGCTTTTCTCCTTGGGGCTTTTGCTGATTCAAATCTTACAGCCTAGGAGCTGAAAAGCCAAGGAGTTCAAAAGACTCTAACCACAGAAGCTGCTGGCGTCCCTTGACTTGTAGGTGCATCACTCTAGTTCTGCCTCTGTGGTCACTGCCTCCGCCCCTTCTTTGTATATAATCTCCTCCTGTCTCTCACTTATAAGTACACTTACAGATGGCATTTAGGGCGAGGATAGTCTCAACTCAAAATCCTTATATCCGCAAAACTTTACCTTGTAAGGTAACATTCTCAGGTCCCAGGGATTAGAGCCTGAGATCTTTGGGGCCACCAGTCAGCCCACTGCAAGCCCTAAACTTCTTTCTCTCCTGAGGAAGGTCTAGGCTGGGCAGACATCCCGACAGACATCTACCAGGGGCCAGATCGAGAGCCCTTTTAGAAGGTCATTTCTCAGCTCATTTGCAATAGCAATCTTGCTATTACCCTTTCTTTTTTCCTCCTGTTTGTCCTCATCAGGGGGAAGCATTAAGAGTAAATGAGGGGCTTCCCTGGTGGCGCAGTGGTTAAGAATCCGCCCGCCAATGCAGGGGACACGGGTTCAAGCCCTGGTCCGGGAAGATCCCACATGCCGCGGAGCAACTAAGCCCGTGCGCCACAACTACTGAGCCTGCGCTCTAGAGCCCGTGAGCCACAACTACTGAGCCCGTGTGCCACAGCTACTGAAGCCCGCACGCCTAGAGCCCAAGCTCCTCAGCAAGAGAAGCCACTGCAACGAAGAGTAGCCCCCGCTCGCCGCAGCTAGAGAAAGTCCGCGTGCAGCAACGAAGACCCAACGCAGTCAAAAATAAATAATAAAATAAATTTTTAAAAATTTATTTAAAAAAAGGAGTAAATGAATAGCAAGTCCAGCCCAGAGATACATGGAGAGGCACAGGCTGGCTCAGGGGTGGGCTGGGACCAGACCAGGCCTCCGGTTATCCCGGGCCACCGAGCAGTTACCCGGTGCCCTGGTATTGCAGCTCCCTTTTTATAGATGGATTTACATAAGGAAATGAAAGGTTGGAATTTAGGCACGGTTGCCAATTCTGATATAAGGAGGTGCTTGACTTCCTAACTGCCGCTCCTTTTCTCCCACAGGAGCTTTTAGGAAACATCAGGACCTGAGAATGTGCTCTTCTAACCACCCTCCTAGCTACACAGACCCCCAGCAGCCCGCTCCATGCTTGCCAGAACCAGGAAGGGAACTTTTTTTTTTTTTCTGGGCCGCGCCGCATGGCATGTGGAACTTCCCCGACCAGGGACTGAACCCGAGCCCTCCGGCATTGGAAGCGCAGGGTCTTAACCACTGGGCCACCAGGGAAGTCCCAGGAAGGAAACTTTGGACTCAGATTTTGTCTTCCCAGACTCCCACTCCACAGTCAAGACCCTGACCCCCGACGTCCCTCGTCCTCTCATTCAGCCCAGCCTCAGCAGTCTGCCATCCGCTGCATGGTCTCGTTTGTTGAATTTCTCTCCTGGGCTCCGCAGGTAGGCACCCTGCCCTCTCCACGAGGACACGCTCACCCTGCATGATTATACAGCCCATCTGGGCCAGTTCTCAGAAGAGCCGTCAGAGGATGTTTAGACACGTAGAGAGCTGCTATCTAAATACCCAGAACTTTCTGTTGGGCATGTGGGTTGACGGGGACAGTCTCAGCTCTTGGGAAGCACAGGTCCTCATTCAAAGTCTGAAAAAGCCCTTTCCACTGAGTGGCACACTAGAGTGTTGAAGAACTCAGGCCCTGGAGGCCTAGGTTCAAATCCCAGCTCTGTCATTTCCTAGCAGTGTGACATGGGGCCCTTTAATTAACCTGATTCTTCGTGAACTAACCCACAGGAAGTAATACCCGGCTTGGGTACAGTTGAAAATGGGATAAGTATGTGAGGTGCTTAGCACAGCGCCTGGCATATACTAAGCGTTCAGGATATATTAGCTAGTATTATTCTCAACAGTGAGATTTCTCCCTAAGCGAGTCAGTATTGGAGGAACTACTAAGGTAATTCAGCACCAAATGTGTGACATATAAAATATTTTATTACAAAAAGCTCAGTTGCAAGGCATTTTAGAAGGAACGGAGCATTCCAGACGGCTTTCCTTTTTCTGCCATTACACAGGAGAGACGAGTAAAGTCTACCAATTCAAACTAGGATCTTACGCATCCTCAGGCTTTGGGCCCTCAAAAGAACTGACGGCATCAGGGGCTCTGAGAACCCCACCTGGGTCTCACCCCAGGGTAATCATCCAGCCTCTCATTCGGCTTAATTCACAAAACGGGCCCATGTCCTTTCTATAAAGCGGGTCATCTTTCCTACCCCACAGTTCAGGATACCAGGGAAAAACTGAAGGCATAACTTGTCTTCTTTTGGAAACAAAACAGTCCTAGTGGAAGCAAAACAAAACCACAATCTAAACCAGTTGCTAGGTATCCTTTCCTAATTGGAACGAGGAGTGTCATCACTGGCGATTCAGAGTCGCGGAAGGACAAGGGGGAAGATGCCGGCGCCATCCCTTGATGGGGTCACAGCATCACGAGATCCGAAGCAGCAGCTCTTTCCGACGCACCTACTATGTGAGGTCCTGGGGGCTGCAGAGTCGCTCCTGAATCCCAGAACCCCTCACCCCCCGGCCCCGTCCAAATTGCTAAGTACACACCTGGCCCCTCCGCTTCTCAACGGTGGCTGAGTGGCTTCATTCGGGATCTGTTGGCGTGGAGGTTGAGTGACAGGAGGGAACACGCCCGGGAGGGGTCATCAGTCCGGGGGCCGGGAGTTGGGGGCCTTCTCTTGGACCTCATCATACTGTGGGGGGGGAGTCAGAGGCTCGATGGACGGAGGAGGCACATTTTTGTCTGGCAGGTTGATCCTAAAGTCTTTGAGGTGAAGCTTTTCGGATTTTATCCTTCGAACTTTCAGCGGCTTCAGGCGTTTGGCCAACTTGGAGTTCTGCCTGTCGGGGGGGTTCCCCGGGCTGGTCTCCACGTCAGCCCTGGTTGTGGTGGGGCTTGTCTCATCCAGCCCCGTCAAGGACTCGTAGGAGGGGAGAGAGACGCTCATCCTGGGGTTCTGGTCCGGTTCCCTTGCTTCCGAGTAGTTTGTGCTCATCACTTCCTCATAGCTGGGGACGTAGTACCTTGAGGAGGCCTCCTCCTCCTCCTCTTGGCTGCAACACACCAAGCACAGACACGGGAGTGTTAGCCTGCGCTCAAGTCATTTAAAATCACAAAGAGATGGACTCCAAATCCCATGTTGCCACTGGGACCACGTATGCCAGCCTTGTAAATAACAAATGTGTCCAAGAAGTAATAAGAGCTAACACTTCAACTGTTGGCTATGAGCCAGGAACTTTCCTAAGTACATATGAACCAATGTCATCTTCCTAATGACACTATGGGTTAGGTTCTATTAGTATACCCATTTTACAGATGGGGAAATGGATACATTGAGGTTAAGTGACTTGGTCATACCTTTAAGAAGTGGCAGGGCAGGAAATGAATGCCACATTCTCAACTACTACACCATATCATCTGGGAGTTAACCTCCCTTGCCTTTTAGCCTCACACTTAATAGCATGCTGGGTGGGCTATTCCGATGCCCAGCTGGGCATCCTTTGACCAAAGTCAACATAAACATGCATGAAACGGCTGCAAATTTGAAGCAAAATGGTTGTCCCTGCGTAGAGAAGGAATATCTGGAATGTAAAATTTACATGTATCTCAAATTATTCTGTAATTTTGTCTTTCACGTTCACCATTAGACTCAAAGGATAGGTCAGGCCCTCAACCTTAGTCTCATTTGACTGTTGAAAGAGAAAACCAGAAGGTCGGGGCAGTTTTTACATGTTTATAGGGAGTAATGCCAGTAGCCATTTTCCAGCACCCTACACTTGAACCTGTATAGGGGATAATGGCCAACATCAGAAACCTCACTGTTTGCCTGGGCTTTCCTCTCATCTCCTTTAGGAATGAACTTGTGAGCTCATAGCCAGGGTGGGTAATGATGGGTGACTGATTTCCTTCTTTGTTCTTTTCTCTATTTCCCAAGTTTTCTAGAATATGCCTGATTATCTTTTACTCTCAGAAAACCGGTTTAATTTTTCCAAAATAAAAACAACTCCCGTCCCACTATAAAGATAAGACATCCTTACTGAAAATTCAAACGACACAGAAAAGTCCAATGAAGAAGATAAAACCATCCGAAACTGTTCCACCCAGAGACAATCACTGTTAACATGCTGTCGTACACCTTTCCAGATCTTTCTCTAATTCCATAGCCGCAACATTTGATGTGATGAAAACCTTTCCTAACATGCTGTGTTACATATAACCTCCTTTTCTCAATGTGGTGGATACGGACCCACATTAGCAAATATAGATCAGTGATGGCTGCGTAGAACTCCACTGAATGGGCAGGTCATACTTCAGCTCGACTGATGGATATTGAGGTTGTCACCTGTCTTTGCTGTTCTCAGCAATGCTCTGATAAACATATGAGCACAAAACCCTTTGCACTTGTGTGACTGTCTCCCAAAGATAAGCTCTTAGGAAGAGAACTGATAGGTGTACACATCTTTAATATGGCCTCTTACTGTGAACGCCCCTTCAGTAAGGTTATGTCAATCAACACTCTGATCAGCAACCTATTTCCCTA